AGCACTGCCAAAGAAAGAAAAAAGAAGAGTGAAGGAGTAAGAGACAGAGTTTAGCTTAGAGCTAGTGCTTATTAGCATGCCGGAGGCCCTGGGCCCATCCCCAATAAAACTCTCTCCTCTCTCTCCCTCTCCCTCCCCCATTCCTCTTCCATGGTGTGCTGATACCTTTAGTGTCAACTTGACACACCTGGGTTGAGGGAGCCTCAATTGGAGAATTACTTCTATTGGACTGACCTATGGCCACGTCTGTGGGGCATTTTCTTGATTGTTGAGTGATTTGGGAGGGCCCAGCCCACTGTGGGTGGTGCCACCCCTGGGCAGGTGGGCCTGTGTTGCATAAGAAAGCAGGCTGTGCACCGGCCTGGGGAGCAAGTCAGTAAACAGAGTTCCTCTGTGGCCTGTGCTCCAGCTCCTGCTTCCAGGTTCCTGCCCTGAGTTCCTACCTTGGGCTCCCTGATGAATTGTGACCCAGGAGATGTAAGCTGAGTAAATCCTTTCCTCCCCAAGTTGGTTTTGGTCAGAGTGTTTTGTCACAGCAATGGAGAAACAAACTAGGACACCTGGCAACAAAGGACACCACATTTGATCTGCAGAACCACTCAGCCTGAGACTCCGCCAAGGAAGGGATCACTGAGGTTTGCAGTAGACTCAAGTCGGTACAAAATGACTTTAAATGGGGGCTAGGGAGACAGCTTAGTAAAGTGCTTGCCAAACAAGCATGAGGACCTTAGATGAATGCTGAGAGCCCACACAGTAAAAAAGCTAGGTGTGGCAATATGCACTTGTAATCCCAGCACTGGGGAGGCAGAGACAGGCAGATCCCTGGGGTGCAGTAGCCAGCCAGCCTAGCCTACTTAGCAAACTCCAGGCCAATGAGAGACCCTGTCTCAAAAAAGCAAGATAGCCAGATGTGGTGGCACACGCTTTAATCTCAGCACTTGGGGGGCAGAAGCAGGAGGATATCTGTGAGATTGAGGCCATCCTGATCTACATAGGGAGTTCCAGAGAGGGGCTACAGAGAGACCCTGTCTTAAAAATACCAAAAACCAACAAAAACAAGGTAGACAGCATGTGAGGAACAACACTTAGGCTGTCCTCTGACACACACACACACACACACACACACACGAAATTAGTAAGACAACAACTTTAATGTGTTGAGCCGTTGATCTCTCAGGAAATGTCTGAACTCGGCACCATTCATCCTGTCTCGGCAAACTCAGAAAGGAGTGCCTGAACCAACATGAAGACCTGGCAGTCTTTGGTTACTGTTTTCTTTTAAAAGTTCCAAATTCTAAGAGCTAGAAACTTTAATTTTGATCCAATCCAACAGGCAATCGTTACTGTAATAAAATGACTTCTAAAGGAAGGTCAGTGAAGAATATCCTTCAATTGCATGGCATAGAGTTTTAGGAAACTTTTTTTTTCTATTTCCCCTTGAGGCATGTACATAAAAAAAAGAAAGCTATATCTATTCTGAGTTAAGCTATAACATACCTTAAGCTCTAAGTAATCTTAGTTGATACAATCTTGCATATTAACATCAGGGACTTTCCAGTCCCAAGAAATTAAAGCAGTATGTTTAAAGAGGGCAGCAGATATTACCCTTGCTTCTTCCTTTTCTCCTCTGTCACACGATCCTCTTTAATTGAGAGCATTATGCTCAAGTTCTCATCTCTCAGAGATTTCTCTTTACCTTGCCCCTAATTCCTGTGCTCATGTTCAGACCTATTCCAACACACAGGAAAAGGTATCATAAAGATCTTCAACTCAATAGATGAAGCACTAGCTGAAGCACAAATGTAACGACCCGAGTTCAGATCCCCAGCACCCACATAAAACCAGGCAGGTGTGGGAGAAACCTGTGCTCCAAGCTGTTGGGAGGGAGGCAGAGAGGGGTTCCCTGGGGCAAGTGAGCCAGATACCCTATGTAAACTTGAGGCCTACACACACATGTATCTGCACATGCATCCACAGGTGAACATGCATCATACATACACCACACTCACATGTGCATGCATGTACACACACAAGAACTGCCAGCCATAATGCTTAACAGTAGCTCAATAAAATACTTTCTTGGATAATGTGCATTTTAATTACGTGTGTGTATCTATTACTCTAAGGGGGTAAGTTTATTAGTGCTAGCCAAGTTTGGTGGTGCATGCCTTTAATTCCAGTACTTGGGAGGCAGAGACAGGCAGATCTCTGTGAGTTCAAGGCTAGTCTGGTCTACATACTGAGTTCCAGGCCAGCCAGGGCTGCATAGTGAACCTTGTCTCAAAAAACCCAAAATAATAGTAATTGATGGAGCCTTGCTATTATTTATAGGCTTGAGGGCTGGGATATCAGAAGGGAAGGCTGAAGATCCTTCCATTTTCCCAACAACGTACTTTCTCTGGCCTACTTATTCAAACAATGCATAAAAGCCATCCCTGAGTACGTCTCTAAGATGTTAGTCACCGGGATGGTTAATTTTATGTGTCAACTTGACTGGTCAATGAGGTCAGGTATTTGCTGAAACATCCTGGGGAATATCCGTGACAGTGCTTTGGTTTAATATTTCCATCTACAGGTTGAGGGAAGTGGATTGCCCTCTGCAGTGTGGATATGAAAGGGCTGAACAGATTTAAATGACTGGTCCTCTCCCACATGCACAGGGGGTAACATCCCTTGTGCAGCTGCCTGCAGAGTGGGGCATCATTTTTACCTTTTGACTAGAACCATGCCATTGATTCCTGTGTCGCCAGCCTGGTGAGCACACATCTTGAGACTTATTAGGCCTCCATAATTCTGAGCCAGTTCCTTACAGCGACTTGCTAATGTCCTGGTAGCCAAAGGAAGTTAGCAACCAAATCCACGGCCAGTGATGGAAAGGTTCACAAACACTTAAGTACCACTGCCAGGGGCCTGGTTTATCCCAAGAATCCAACACATTCAGTACAGGAATCAGATGTCAGCAGAATCCTTGCTCTTTTGGCACTGGTCTGGCAGCTATAGTGCAAACTCAAATCTCTGTGGTACTCCTCAGGGAGAATTCTGGATTTTTTTTTTTTTTTTTTTTTGGACATTTCTGTCCCAGTAAAATGTAACCTTGCCATGTACACGTTTTAAATTTGTAAAATTTTATTATTGGTGTGTTTGTGTACCTGCGTGAGCATGTGTATGTGTGTGCGTGTGTGTTGGCATGCAGGCCACAGGCATGGGTATATACGGTGGTCAGACAATAACCTTTGGGAGTCAGTTCTCACTTTCACACCCTGTTCAGGCAGGTCTGTTTTTCCGGCTGTGCTAAGTACTCCAAGCTAGCTGGCCTTGACCTTCCATGAGGCTCCTGTCTCCACCTCCCACATCCCTTGCTTACTTGGGATCACAGATGACTGCCACTGCATGTTTTAAGGTGGGTTCTGGGGATTAAACTCAGGTCATCCAGCAAGTGTGTTTACTCCGTCAGCCATTTTGCTGGCCCTGTTTTTTGTTTGTTGTTGTGAAACAGGGTCTGGTTAGGTAGCCCAGGCTGGCTTGGAATTCACTATGTAGCCTAGGCTGGCCTCCAACTCAGTGATTCCCCTGTCTCAGCTTCCCAGTTGCTGGGCTTACATGGCCCAGCACCACGCATATTTGAAATATATGGTTTTATTATACATTATAAAGATTGTACTTTTGTGTTATGCTATTTATGTTTAAGTATTATGTTGATTTTTAAAAAGTACACATATAGTAGGTTATATCACATACAAACTTTCACTTAGTTGTGTTACACAATGTGTGGCGGTGCAGGCCTGTAATTGCAGTACTTACTTGGGAGCTGGAGGTAAGAAAATGAGTTCCAGGCCATCCTAGCCACACAGCTCAAGGTGAGCATGGGCTGGAGGAGACCTGATCTCACAAAACATCTTAGACAGTATTTGTTACAGGGCAGATCACAAATATTGTATCTGGTATTTGTGAAATGAATTACAATTGGGTATTGCACGAACTAGCCGTTATTCATCTTCAGGCCGTGTGTGGTGGCACACACCTGTAGTCCCAGCACTTGGGAGGCAGAGGCAGGTGGATCTCTGCGAGTTCAAGGCCAGCCTGGTCTACATCCTGAGCTCCAGGACAACTGGGGCTACAGGGAGACCCTGTCTCAAAAAAAAAAAAAAAAAAAAAAAAAAAAAAAAAAAAAAAGTTCATCTTTATTTTTTCATTTTATTTGAGTCTTCTGTATCCCAGGCTGGCCTTCAACTTGTGGCAATCCTCTTTCCTCCACCAACTGTTGTGATTTACGGGTGTGTGCCATCACACACGCCTTTATTTTAAATTTCAATCTGTATTCTGTGTGGAACAGACAGTGTGGGGAGTTTCATGCTTCCGGGAATAGTGGGGGCGAAAATGATCAGACATCTGATCCCCCTTTTAGACGGCCCCCAAGCCGTCTAAAACACCCCCTTTGCAAAGGCTAATTTGCCTCTGCCTTACAGTTCAACGACTCTATTTCACAGTATGCACAGGACTCTTGCAGAATAGACGGTGCAGTTCCTGTAGCCAGCAGCTGGAGGCTCTGAGGTTGCGCGGGGCACACAGTAGGGCACTAACCACGCTGACAGTTCAAGTGGTAGTGGACACGGAGCCACCCCTGCCACGTGGTCCTCTTATCTTTCTCCTGGGCCTAGGCGGCAGTTCGGAGCAGATGGCGAGGCCCGGGTGCCAGGTGTGCAGCACGCCCTACGCGGTGTGGGGCACTGGGTTCTTTGGTCCCGGCCGCACCCCGCCCATCCCATGCCCGCGAGCGCCCCCAGCGCAGTCTGCGCCCCGGTGCAGGGTGCCCTCCGCGAGGAACCCGAGGGGAAGGGCGGGGAGAAGACGGCCCGGTGCCAGGCGCAACCCGCGAGCCCCGCGCCAGCTGCCCGCCGGCCCCTCCTCCGCCCGCGGCACTTGCAGCTTCGGTGGCCGTCTCGCCCCTCCGCAGCCCTGCGCCCTCCCTCCACTCACCACCCCCCCCCCGTCTTTCTGACCTTGCACAGGCTGCTCTGCACCAGGCCACTCGCGACCTACTCCGGGTCGCTCTACTGGAAGCGTGCTTTTTGTTTTTTCCGTGAACGAAATCAGCAGCTTTCCTCTCTTTTTTGGGGGGGGGGGGGGGGGGGGGCGGGGGATGAGTGGGTGTCGTCCAAACTCAATGCGCGTACTTGGCTACGGACTTGGGGGCGGGGAGTCCACGGGGCATGCCCCACCCACGCCGCGCGCTGCGGCCACCCGGGTGGTGTCGGGGCGCAGGGGTCAGCTCGGGATGCCCGGCTCTCAGGCCTGCGCAGGGCGGTCTGCGGCGGATCCCGGCTGAAAGACACAGGCAACCAGGAAGGAGGACAAAGCGAAACCCGGGCACAGCCTCCCGGTTATCCACCTGCTGGAGACCCACGCGCCAGGGCTGCTGGCACTTTGGGCGCCTCCGAGGCCCGCTGCGGACTCAGTGGCACACCCCACCCCCTCAACCTTCCTTCCTTTTCGGTCACCGCTTGCCCGAGGACTGGGAGGGGGACCGAAGTGTCCTGTTCCTTCGCTCTGCCCTAGGGAAGGAGCCCTGGGAGGGCCTCTCTCGTGGAGACCCGCGGGAGGCTCACCCGGGATAATGGGGTGCTAGGTACCCAAGAACGCACGGGGGAGGGAGACCAAGGAGGGGGTCGGTTCCGGTCAGCGGCGGAACTGAACCCCAGAGCCCCTGGACTGGCTGGTAGTTGGGGAGGAGTGGGATGGGAAAGGGGCGCGACAGGGGAGGTCTGAGATGGGAAGGGTGGGACGAGGAAAGATGCAGTGGGGGAAGGGGGTGATGGAGGAGGGTGGGATGGGAGGAGCCGAGCTGGTGGAGCCATCCGTTCCCCACCCCGCGCGGGAAGCGCGCGCTGCAACTTCAAAGGAGGCCCGGGAGCGGGCGCGGGGGCGTTGCCAGCCTCTGCGGACCGGACCGTGAACTTCGTGTCGCTGCCAGGATCGTCCAGCCTCGGCTTCTGTAGGAAGGACGACAGCACGGCCGGGCAGAGTGGGTTGCAACTGTTGATGGGGCTGAGCAGCCGGATCCCGGTGGGCTAGGGGCAGGACTCCAGGCGCTGTGCGGCGCAGGGCATGCCCGGCCACCCTTTCCTTTTAGAAACAAGGGTAGCCTTTGGGAGCCCTTGGGTCATGCACCCTCCGAAGCTGAGCGCAACAGGCGGAGAAGCCTCGTTCTTGCTCCTTCGTGCCCGGGGAGATGTCCGGAGCATGGACACCCGTGCCATCCTCTCTGCGTCTAGTTACCACCTCCAAAGCGGGGTTCAAGCAAACGGGCGGAGGTTGGGTATCTGGAGGGGAAAAGGACCAGGATTCATCGACACACCCTATGCTCTGCTGCGCCTTTTTAAGCCGCTACCCTGAGTAGGTGAAGTTTGATGGGGGTGGGGTGATGGTTCTGGGAGGAAGAGGGAGTGTGGCCTTCCCCTCCTTTTCCCACGCCGCGGGCGCACGCAGGCTCAGCGTTGCCACCTGGCGGCCGCTTCTCTAGGGCCGCGGCGCTGTCTGTCCTCTCCGTGGTAGAGCTAGGTGGGTGTGCCAGGCCTGGGGGAAACAGCCGTTCATGTTCATCTTCCAGGCTCATGCAAACATTCGTTTTCTGCTCGCGCTCATGAAGAAGTCCGGAAGAAAGGAGCATTGGATTGGCGTTGATTGGCGCGGCTCTGAGGAGGTGACCTGAGGCTGCTGGTCATGAGGGGAGAGAAAGTGGTTAAATTCATAGAAATAGGGTCTTTTCTCAGTGTATTCTAACAGTGAAAATAAACCACAGATTACACTTATTCGTGCTTAGTGTTTTTCAAAGGAGAATTAAACGTACTGTTTCTGTACAACCCTCGCCCACACCCCCACCCCCATTTGCAAAACATCTTCCTCAGCCCTAAGGATGCAGTGCAAGCTGCTCAGGTCTCCCCATGTCAAGGAATTAACAATAGGGCTTTCCCCAGTCTAGTCATTTGAACTTAATGCTCAAGCAGGCCAGCTCCAAAAATCACCGTTTCAACAAGCCAAAGGAAGCAAAAGCCTTGAAAATCCGTGCAAAGCCAGATTTGTAAAACTAATTTTCATCCAGGTCCCCCCCCCATGCTATAGGAACATCTTAAGTAGTGGAATTAAATCTTCCCATCCACAATCCATACTGTTTTATAGGTGTGGGGCTTTTGTTGTGCAAGGGTGTAGGAGCAAAAGAAATGAATTAGCAAATAGAATTCCATGTCAAATGGATTCCTTTTAATGGAATAAAGTAAATAAAATATCTGGCTTAATTCAGAATTTCAAAGATCTAACATCTTTTCCTGTAAAGACCATTAGCTGATTATTCTAAGACTGGACTTGTTTGCAAAATGATCTTGACTTTCTGTTAATACACTTATAAGAGCAGCACTAAGAATGACTTGATGTGCTCAAGCCAGCAGAGGGAACAGAGTACTGATTTACTAGGGGCCAGATAGCTGGTATGGGGGATCATTTGGTGTTAAGCCCAGTGCATTCTGATGTGCATACACTTTACTCAGTTGAAAGATGACTTTAATTAAAAGCCACTGGTCACATGTTTTGCTACATTCTAAGAGCTGTAAGAACCAAAAACAGCCCCACTTCAAGAAGTCCAAGCACTCAAATCTATGTTACATAGACATATATATTCTGTAATTGTGTAATAGGTCAATAAAAATTACTAACCCATATTTCAACAGTTCTAAGAGAAACTTTTTCATTTCAACACCTTTGAAACAGGGAAGCACCTCACAGTGAGGGGGGGAGGATGGATGAGGAAGGACTGGGTGATGGCTCTATAAGTGAAAGGGCCTGCTTGCTGCCAAGCCTGACAACCTAAGTGGTTCCCTGGGACCCACAAGGTAGAGGGAGAAAACTGACTCCTGCAGGTTGTCCTCTGACTGGCTGTGTGGAGTGGTACCTGTACTCACACACACAAAAATAATTTTTTTTCCTAAAAAAAAAAACCTTTTCTCCAGTGGCATAGACTATAAGACATGTCATAAAATCTGTTAGGTTTGTTGAGATACAGAAAATATACCTAACAAAAGAATTTAGGTCAGTGACCCCTTGTTACTTTTCTAAATAAAATCTGTACATTAAGCCTAAGCATAATTACTATGGCTGCTTTAACGTCTACATTTGCTCATTGTATTAAAAGGTTAAATGTTAAAGGTTAAATTAAAAGCATTAATGTCAGTAGAAATAACAACTCCATTGGTATTCACTTCAACCACATTAATCAAAATAGTTACATCCTCTTAAACATTATTTGTTACAAATCACCCCATAAACACCTTCTCATTGAGCATAATGAAAATATTGATTTCATAGATAACAAACATCTTAGATGGTAGGTTGGTAACATTTCAAGGGTTTATACCAGAAAAAAAAAAAAAACCACGATAACACATTGCCATTATTATGCAAAAATCCTGTCTTTGTGGGGGGTTGGAGTGTTATTTTAGGATTTTCCCTCCTAGAAAAAATAGGGGGGGGGCATACAGATAGCAGATGGTCAAAAATTATTTGCTTTTACCCACAAAAACATTCTTCCTGTGGTTGATCTTAGAGCTCCAATCAGCTGCCCCTATAGGGTGCTCTTTCCAGTAAATTTCTAACTCTGACACCCCGGGCCTCTTGCCAGCCTGCATACTTTAAAGTTTGACAAGGTAAGTGGAAATACACCACCCAGAGCTAGTGTGACTCCAATCCTAAGCCAACTTTAAATTGGACCCCACTACCTATCAGTGGCCTGAAAAAAATCAGTTTATTAGCATGTTATGAAAGGTCATTTTTAACTAGAATTCTAATTTTCAGATCTTAAGAAAGAGGTGATTTGTATCGTGGTCAAATAAATTATCACATATTCTGAATACCCAAGCACCTTCTCTGCACCACGTTTTACATTGTGGGTTTTTGCTTTTTTTTTTCCTGTTGTTGTTTTTGAAACAGGGTTTCAAGTAGCCGATGCTGTCCTGGAACTCTTGCAGCAGAGAATGACCTTGAGCTCCTGATCCTCCCAACTGCTGGGATGACAGACCTCGGTCACCAAATGAGCTTTTTAAATATATAATTTAATTATATATTTTATATAATATTAATCTCTAAACAACATGCTACTTTACTAGAACTGGCATTTACATTTTCAAGGGAAAGGTGTTTGCGTTCTCAAAGGGCATGGGACACATCCCTGGTTTATAATCTCACACTCTTTAACAATCAGCCTCTCTATAGCTACTCCCAGACTTCCCATATCTCGGAGAACAACTGAGACCCCGCTCTCATCCTTACAGCCAGAAGGAAAGATCAGCAGTCAGGCCTAAGATGGATTCAGTTACTCCCTCTCCCCACCCCCACGGTCAGTTTCTTTTCTCGGTTTTTTGTTTGTTTGTTTGCTTTTTGTCCCATTTACTCCGAATAGCACACATATAGGAGAAATTGGGTAAAAGAGAAAAAAAGTGGGGATTTGAGGGAAGGAGTGGAGTGTGAACCCATCTATCCTTTAGAAAGTGTGGAAAACAAATATTTAGAAAGTAAAGTCAATTTCCATCCTCTGTTCACCATGATCGCCCTATACAAAACTACACAAAGTCTCCCATTGAGGTAATTAGGGAGCACTGCCTCAGCGTTTCAAGGGAAAGCTCCTTGTTTGGGTATCTAGGATTTATAGGGGAGCTGAAATCATTAAATAACTAGTTAACCTTTGTTTGGTTAAGAGAATAAGCAATTACTGCAAAAAGTCCTCTGCCTTTCACAAACAGCACAAACACCATCCTGAAGGGATTTACACAATACACCAATGTCTGTGCTGTGCCTAGAGTTGTTAAAATAATTGTGATGACAGGTGTCTAGGTGCCACTTTAATGGTTTTCAATATCCATTGATTTATTGTGGTGCCCCCCCCGACCCCAACCCTCTGCATCTCTGGCTTTAAGGAGCTGAGAAAAGATTTTGCACCAAAGGCTGATTCTTTATTCCAACACTGAAAAGAACTAATAAAAATAATCACTCAGCTTTTAAGCAGAAAGCTTCCATTTACAGTATTCCACCCTTACTCCCCCCTTCCAAGCCCCTTGTTATCTAACATAATGGCTAGAATACATTTCCGTCTCTCCCCTTAATAACTTCATGCATTAATAGCCTTTTCACACACGCGCGCGCGCTCACACACACACGCACGCACGCACGCACGCGCGCGCGCGCGCGCAACCAGCAAAAGGAAAAAAAAAAAGAGGCAGCAGAAATCTCAGCTGTACTTCCAGCCCTTTTAAAAAGTTTGCTCTGTAAATTGGAATGAGGTCAGATTTGGAGCCTCTCATTGCACGCGGAGATTATTATTGCATCGGGTTCCAAGCCAATGGGAAGGGCGGGGGAGGGGCTTGGCACGAGGAAGCGTTAGTTACAGCGGCTGATTGGCTGTGGCCGGGTCTGCGAAAGGATAAAGCGGCGCGAGGCGGAATTGGGGTCTGCTCTAAGCTGCAGCCAGGGAAACCGAGTGTGGGCCAGAAGGCTGTCTCCCTCCCGGGGCTCTAGTTCTTGCACGCTTTTTTTTTTTTTCCGCCCCCCCTCCTTTTTTTTAAAGAGTCTGCAGCGGAGGAACTCTGCGGGCACTAGCTCGCCTTCTTGCAGGAGGGGAGGGAGAAACATCCATTTATTCATGCCGGTCTGTTGCATGCAAGCTTTTTGGCTTCTTCCCTTGCAACAAAATAATTGCACAAACTCCTTAGCGCCGATTCCGCCCACAGAGAGTCCTGGAGCCAGAGGCGCCGTGGCTCTGCAGTGTAGGAAAGAGAGTTAAACCATAGAAGCGATGTGGCTTCCCTGAGCTCCCCGGCGCGCTCGGGAACCGAGACCCACCGCTTCAGGGGGAGGGAGAAAAGAAAAAAAAAAAAGAAAAAAAAGACTCGCCCGGGAGGCGGCGAGAAACTTGCCTTTGGAAGAAGCTCCGGCCACCGGCGTCGCGGCGAGAACCTCGGCGCCCGCACCCCGAGCCCCGCGGCGCGGCAAGCAGCACGGAGGGACGCGGAGCTCGGGCGGCGGGAGGCGGCCCGCAGCCGGGGGACCCTCGTCTCCGCGCCCCGGCCCGGCGTGCGCTCGGCCCCGGGGAGCCCGCAGGGCCCGGCGATCGCGCCGCGAGGCTGTGAACGCGCGTGGGCGCCCGGCGAGCCATGGTGCAGCAGACCAACAACGCGGAGAACACGGAAGCGCTGCTGGCCGGGGAGAGCTCGGACTCGGGCGCGGGCCTGGAGCTGGGCATCGCGTCCTCCCCGACGCCCGGCTCCACCGCGTCCACCGGCGGCAAGGCGGACGACCCGAGCTGGTGCAAGACGCCCAGCGGCCACATCAAGAGACCCATGAACGCCTTCATGGTGTGGTCGCAGATCGAGAGGCGCAAGATCATGGAGCAGTCGCCCGACATGCACAACGCCGAGATCTCCAAGCGGCTGGGCAAACGCTGGAAGCTGCTCAAGGACAGCGACAAGATCCCGTTCATCCAGGAGGCGGAGCGGCTGCGCCTCAAGCACATGGCTGACTATCCCGACTACAAGTACCGGCCCAGGAAGAAGGTGAAGTCAGGCAACGCCGGCGCGGGCGCCGCGGCCGCGGCCGGGGCGGCCAAGGCCGGGGACAAGGGCGACAAGGTCGGGGGCAGCGGGAGCGGCCACGCGGGAGGCGCCGGCTCCAAGCCCGCGCCCAAGAAGAGCAGCGGTTCCAAAGTGGCGGGCGGCGCGGCCGGCAAGCCGCACTCCAAGCTCAGCCTGGCGGCCGGCAAGGCGTCCTCGGCCGCGCAATTCTCCGCCGAGCAGGCCGCGCTGCTGCCCCTGGGGGACCCCCCGGCCGTCTACAAGGTGCGGACTCCCAGCGCGGCCTCCGCCGCCTCCTCCTCCTCCTCCGCGGGCGGCGGCGCGCTGACCGCCCCGGCCAAGCACCTGGCCGACAAGAAGGTGAAGCGTATCTACCTGTTCGGGGGCCTGGGCGCCTCTGCGTCGCCCGTCGGGGGTCTGGGCACGGGCGCGGACCCCAGCGACCCCCTGGGGCTGTACGAGGATGGCGGCGCCGGGTGCTCGCCCGACGGCCCGAGCCTGAGCGGCCGCAGCAGCGCAGCATCCTCGCCCGCCGCCGGCCGCTCGCCCGCCGACCACCGCGGCTACGCCAGCCTGCGCGCAGCCTCGCCCGCCCCGTCCAGCGCGCCTTCGCACGCGTCGTCGTCGCACTCGTCGTCCTCGTCGTCGTCGTCGTCGTCCGGCTCCTCGTCGTCCGACGACGAGTTCGAAGACGACCTCCTGGACCTGAACCCCAGCTCAAACTTTGAGAGCATGTCTCTGGGCAGCTTCAGCTCCTCGTCCGCGCTCGACCGGGACCTGGATTTTAACTTCGAACCCGGCTCCGGCTCCCACTTCGAGTTCCCGGACTATTGCACGCCCGAGGTGAGCGAGATGATCTCGGGAGACTGGCTGGAGTCCAGCATCTCCAACCTGGTCTTCACCTACTGAAGGGCGCGCGCGCGCGGGGGGCCGGGGAGAAGGAGGGCCGTGGGGCAGGAGGAGGAGAGCGAGGAACACGAAAGAGGAAAAAAAGGAAAAAAAAAAAAAAAAAAGGAAAAGAACAGATGGAGAGTGGAAAGGGGGGGGGAAGAAGAGGAGGAAGAGGAAGAAGAGAGTGGGCAGGGCTGGCTTCGCCCGTGTCCCGGCGTTGGAGAGAGGCCCGCGGGGGGCGCGGGTGACCCGCGCTCCCATCCCCCACCCCTTGCTGGGGCTGCGGAGGAGGCGGAGGGTAGATAGGGGCGACCTTTTATTGTTGTTATTGATGTTGTCGAAGGCAAAGAAAAAAAAAAAAAGCTACTTGGAGTTTCCTCCCCCTTTTTGGCTTGAAGAGACTCCCCCCTCCCTTGCCAACGAGCTTCCGGACTTGGGGTGCTCTCCCCACCCCCAGCCAAAAAAGAAGCCGAGCTGATCTGATCCACCGGGGACCGAAGGAATCTCGCCCCTCTCGCTCCACCACCGTGGTGATTTCTTGTTTGGTTTTATTTTGCTTCTTGGAAGGGGGGGGGGGAGCCAGCGCACCCCTCCCCTGCTCGCCCCTCCTTTTTTCTTTTTCTTTTTCTTTTTTCTTTTTCTCCAATGCGTAATGAAGACAGAAGGCCCCGGGGTGATGCGTTTGGCCGTGGCAGATGTGTTGGGGGGTGGGGAGAGCATTGGCAAGGAGAGACTCCACGCTGGCGACCTGGTTGGGATTTTTTTTTTTTTTTCTTTTCTTTTCTTTTCTTTTCTTTCCCTGCCCAGGAGGTGTACATGGAGCCGCAGGCCAGCCTCGGAAACGAACTGAGGGCCTCTTTGGAAGCCACAGTAGCCGGGCATGGGTTGGGGACGCTGAAGGACCCGGGGCGCAGAGGCCCCCATCACCCTGCGGGGGATCTGCACCAGGCTGAGGGTTGGGGCCCTGGGCCTTTACCTGGGGTCTCTGCAAAAGAGAAAAAAAAAAAAAAAAATTCAGAGAGGTGAGGCTACCCAGAGCCGGAGGCGGGAGGACAGGAGACTGTGGGATGTGGTCTAGGGGCCGTGGAGTGGTTTCGGGGGGAAAAAAAGAGGTTTTTTTCTTCTCTTAATGGAAATCGTGATGGTGTTGAGTTATTTCATTGGTGGGGTTAATATAGCATGTTATCCTGTCTATCTTTTGAAGATTTCTGTATAAGACTGTTGAGCAGTTTTTAAAATAGTGTAGGGTAATATAAAAAGCGGATAGATGGCGCTCTGTTTGATTCCTACAACGAAATTATCACCAGCTTCTTTTCATTCTTAACTCTTTAAAGGATTCAAACGCAACTCAAATCTGTGCTGGACTTTTGAAAAAACACAATTCAGGACCAAATTTTTTCTCTGTGTGTTTTTATTCCTTATAGATGTCATTGAGAAGACCTTTTTTTTTTTTTTTCCCTCACCGACGCTCCATTCTTTTATTTTTTTTTTCCTTGTAAATGTAATCAGATGCCATTTTATATGTAGACATATTTATACCGGCCAAACATTTTTTTTTAATTTTGTCCTTTTTTTCTTTCCTGTCTTTGACCTCATTTTTCCTTTTATAAGTTTATCCTTTTATCTTTTTTCTTTTTTTTTTCTTTTTTAATTTTTTTTAAGTTGTTACCCACGCCATTTTCCGTCTCCTTCACTGAAGGGCTAGAGTTTTAACTTTTAATTTTTTATATTTAAATGTAGACTTTTGACACTTTTAAAAAACAAAAAGACAAGAGAGATGAAAACGTTTGATTATTTTCTCAGTGTATTTTTGTAAAAAATATATAAAGGGGGTGTTAATCGGTGTAAATCGCTGTTTGGATTTCCTGATTTTATAATAGGGTGGCTGGTTAATATCTCACACAGTTTAAAGAATCAGCCCCTGATTTCTCCATGTTTACACTTCAATCTGCAGGCTTCTTAAAGTGACAGTATCCCTTAACCTGCCATCAGTTTCTACCCTTCCACCCCCAGTCAGATGGGGAGGAGAGTTCAGCCAAGCACTGTAATGCTTTTAAGAAATACAGATTTTTAAACAAAATGTTTTTATGTCTGGAGGCTTTAAAACTGGTGCATTTACAACAACAACAAAAAAGGGATTCTGTAGCTTTAACTTGTAAACCACATCTTTTTTGCACTTTTTTATAAGCAAAAATGTGCCGTTTAAACCACTGGATCTATCTAAATGCCGATTTGAGTTTGCGACACTATGTACTGCGTTTTCATTCCTGTATTTGACTATTTAATCCTTTCTACTTGTCGCTAAATATAATTGTTTTAGTCCTATGGCATGGTGATAGGCTATGTGTTCTGGTTTATAGCTGTTGTGTTTAAAGATTGAAAAAAAAAGTGGAAAACATCTTTGTACATTTAAGTCTGTATTATAATAAGCAAAAAGATTGTGTGTATGTATGTTTAATATAACATGACAGGCACCAGGGACGCCTGCCTTTTGAAAGGCAGTTCCGTTAAGGGTTTTTGTTTTTAGCTTTTTTTTGCCATCCATCCTGTGCAATATGCTGTGTAGAATATTTGTCTTAAAAATTCAAGGCCACAAAAAACAATGTTTGGGGGAGAGGAAAAAAAATCATGCCAGCTAATCGTGTCCAGTTCACTGCCTGTCAGATTGTTGATATATACCCTCTGTAAATAACTTTTTTTGAGAAGGAAATAAAATCAGCTGGAACTGAACCCTAAATCTTGACTTTTGTCATTCTTTATGCCTGAGATCCTTGTAGAGGGGGCCCTCCAGTCGTTGGGGACGCCTCTGTCTGCAGTGGCTTTTGGAACAAGTAAATTCTCAAGAGAAGAGAGCCTGTTAAATGCCATCTTATTGACAAATACAAGTTCCTCTTGGCCAGATTTGGCAGGACCGACCCTGAGTGATGGCGTCAGCCTCCTGTGTCAATCCTCTGCAAGCCTTCGAGGAATTTTCTGAGTTTACTGCACACCAGTAAGCACCCTTTGTCTGGAAATTTTAAAGAGGGGGAGGGGCGGAATTCACAGATCAACCAGGCTGGCTGAACTTTTTTATTTATTTATTTCTGTTCTGTGTTCCTGAAACTGTCATCTACTGAACTTGCCAAGCTGGTAAGATTTATTTTCCACAGACTAAGGATAAATAGACCTGTTAAATTATTAGACTGGTCCTGGAGGAGGAAGCCTTTGCTAGTTGCTAGTTACAAAATGTAAAAGATACTTGGGCCTGTTTTGCTGGTTTCTTTTTTTTTTTTTACCCCCCCCCCCCCCACAATGTAAAGGTCAGATCATGATGATGCATGCCTATAATGCATGCATGGGAGAAGGGCCAGGCTGAAAGATCAGGAATCAGGCTAACCTGGACTACATGAACCCCTGTTTCAAAAAAACAACAAAAAAAGACCACCACAACAAAGATTAATACAGCCCTAAGTCTCCATACTGTGCCACGCCCAACATGGGTAGCTCTCTAAGTTAAATGTGCCCTGCCTCTTAATCTGAGCAGTGCTTTATAGTTTTTATAAGCACCAGGCCCAGCAGTTACTATTTAGACCTTCATGCCAGGAAAAAAAGAACCTGCAGGCCCATTAGTATTTCTCCTTCCCTTCAGAGATGAACAGTTTCCATGAGCAAACAGAAGACATCTTCCCTTTCAAATGTCAGCTCTTAAAATGTGGCTTTTCCATGTTTCCTAGTTTTCAGCACTGGGAGAAAGGGTTAACAAGCAGCATTTGGAAACAATCCTCTCATTTTGAGGATCCTTGTAGGTGAGGGAGGCCCTGCATCCTGGAATTGAGCAGAAAGAGACTTCTGCAGACCAGACCAGCAAGCATTTTCCTTCAGTAAAAAGCAATTTGCTGGGGGTTGGGTATGATCAAAATATACTGCAGAGATGGATGAAATTTTCAAAGAATAAAAATGAAATATAAAAGGAATTTTCCTCTCTCTAAAATAACATATAACTATTATGTTTCAATATAATTAATCTCTTAACACAGCTACTAGTTTCTATTCTTATATAAGCTGCTAATATATTGAGTTTTAATTGATTGAATATTCTGCAGTTATTTTGGGGGCAGGAGGGCTAGGGTTAGTAGTGCAGATTAAACCCAGATCCTTGTGGGTGCTGGGCAGACACTCTCCCTCTGAGATACGCCCCTAGCCCTGAAATCCCATGTTTTTAACAGACTTTGCAACAAGGCATCTTTTTTTTTTTTTTTTTAAAGGTCTTTACAGAAGAAGGAAAAAGGCTTTAAGAAACATGCTTAAGTTTAATGTTTGATCACCGTAGTGAAGATAATATGATTCCTTAGATTGTTTCCCCCCCCCTTAGATCCAAAACATCAAAACCCTAATGTAAATGAGCCCGACATGGTGCATTTTTTAAAATGGTGCATATCTTTGAAAGTGTTTGTATTGTTTAGGGTTTTCCTGCTACAACTATATGTTTATTTTTTTTTCTTGACTTTTCATGTAAGAGCAGATGCTTTAAAATATTTTCTTTAAGAATTTTAGAGCTAGTATGCTTGAGGCTCTGGGACCCTTCCCAGCACCCCAAAGGGAAAAGGACAATTTTGATACACATTTCCGATTTTATTTTTAAAGGGATGCTGTGTTCTTCCTAGCTGGTGGTGGAATAAATGTAAAACATTTTTGTACTTTTTAATCTTTCTCATCCCTTTCCATTCAGAAAGGTTACTTACATGCTAGACTGTACAGGGCAAAATAAATGTAGAAAAGCAGTTCAGTGTAACAAGTCTTTTTAAAAAAATAAAGAAAGAAAGACACTGCTTCTTTGCCCCATGCTTCATCAGAGATGTGGCCGGGTGACACTTGCTGAAGTATGCTGTGTCAGTTCCTAGCTGGATCCCTTAAGTGCCCAGAGAAAAAAGGGGAGGGGCCAGTTTGGGAGCTGACCCGGCAGGCTGAGCGCCTGGAAGGCTTTTCTGGATTTCTGCTGACACTGCTGAGTGGGTATCTCTAGGACAGAGAAAGCAAAGTGTAGGGAAGTGGATGTTGTCTGTCTGGTGTTTCTGATCCACAGGGTCAGAGTGCTTCATAAATCTTAAACAACTGAGGGATGCCACAGAGGTTTTGTGAAGATGCACATGTCAAGCTGGGCGTGGTGACACAACCCTTTAATCCCAGCATTCCCAGACAAGGTTCTCTGAGTTTGAGGCCAGTCTGGTGTATATAACGAGATCTAGGCCAGCCAGGACTATATAGTTGTATAGTGAGGCCCTATCTCTTAAAAAATAAAACAATTTTTTTTTAAAATAATGTATCCAGAAAAACTAAGACCACAAATCCAACTCATCCATTTGGATTTCTCAGGGTACAAGGTTGGTATGCTTTATTCTTCCCTGTGAGTGTTTTGTTGTTGTTGTTATTTGTTTTATTTTTGTGTGTGTGTCACTGTGTGCTGTGTGCAGGTGCTTGTGGAGGCCAGAAGAGGGTATCACATCACCTGGAGCTGCAGTTACAAGCACTAGTGAGCCACCCGAGGTCTGTGCTGGGAACTGAACTGGGGTCCTCTGGAAGAGCAGCAGCAAGTGCTCTTAACAGCTGAGCCATCTCTCTCACTCTTGTAGATTTTGTTTTCTGCCCCTGACCCCAGGACTACAAAGCTTTCTCTAGCCCCTGGTCACTAGCATTTACCCCAGCCCCTCTGATTCATCCTAGAAAAGGAATTCCAAATGCATCTAGGTTTTCACCCTGACTACCATTTGGAAGTAGGTAGCTCCAGTGAAAGGCACAAGCATCTTTTTGACACTTGCATGGTGTTTCAGACTCTGCTAAAAAGCACTGTCCCCCTTTGCCCAGGATGAAGTGCTCAGCTCACCTGCAACTTGTCCTGCATGAAATGCCCTGCATGAAATGACCATCACCCACCCCTCAAGTCTCCACAGACAGACTAGAATTCTTGGAGGGGCAGAACTAAACCTTGCATCCTTGATTTGTACATTTGTTTTCCAGCGCATTCTTGTACATAAAAAGTGTCTGTTGGTCAGGTTTTTCTTTGCATTGTTTCTGTGGGGCCTTAAGAGCTGAGCCCAAGAAGGAACCCAGATCCAGTGTCTCCCAAAGCAGATGACCTCTGAGCAGGTGTGATGGCGCACACCTGCAGTCAGGGTACCCAGGGTAGAAGCAGGACTCCTGAGAGGTCAAGTTTGAAGCCAGCTTGGCCTATATAGTGGATTCCAGGCCAGCTGGGACTATTACATAGTGAGACTGAAAAAGCAGTCCAAATAGTTGTCCTTTCTATTGGAGCCACAGAACAGCAAACTCACCAAGGCCTTGTGTCCTCAATGAAGACTGGAGGTTGTCCTATCCCCACCCCTTTGACCCTCCCCTTACCCATTTTCCCAAGGATGGGGAGACCCTATCTCAAAACAAAACAAAAATAAACATAAAGACCAGAACCTCTGCTCTGTTATCCAGAGGGCTGGAGGCATGTAAAACTGCACATTCAGAGGAGAGCCCTTACCCGAGGGCTGGAGTCTACCCTTTCTAGCCTGATGAGATTGACCGTTAGCTACAGTTAACTCGAAGGGTTTTATGGTTTCCTGCATGTGTTGTTTTCCTCCTTAATGTTAAAAAGAAGAAGGAAAAAAAAAAAAAAAAAAAAAAAAAAAAACCTCCCATCACCAAACGGTATTTCCCAGGGGGCTGTTGGGCCTCTGTGCCCTGGTTTGTGCCTTACTTACAACACTATGCCCCCATGTGTGGGTATGTGTGGGAACAAGTGATAATAGATTTAGTTCATTTTCTTCTGACAGTTTCAGGACAATTGGTTTATGGAGTCTTGCCAACCATGCCAGAACCAAGTCAAGTTGGGGCAGGAGTTGGCGACAGGGCCTCCTTAACCTGCAGAATTTTGGTGAAGGTCAAAACTGTCACTCATTCAAACACTAGTAACAGAAAGTTACTTTGCTCTGCCTCTAAGGCGTCCCCTTTGAGGGTTTTAGGATTTGTTTTTAAAGACTAAAACACAAAAAAATAATGGTATATCACTTGCTTAGTGCGCTTGATTCTTTAGTTATTTTCAATACGGTGAACGTGCTGTTTCCTGATCCAACATGCAGTTTGGAAGCTGAGGAAAATAAAAGCCTCATCTGTTAGCTTAGGCAGGCTCCTTCTTAGTGAATGCCCAGCATGGCTTGATGACATGATGACATCCATGTGTGTGGTGCATGTAACTGCTTTTCTAAGAGCTAAGGAGCCAGGCCTTGTTTAACGACCGATTAGCGCATGTTACCTATGTGGTTAATGTCATTTTCTTACCAGTGGCTACCCCAAGCTCCGGAGCTCTAGCACCTAAAACCTGTGAATGCCTCATCTTCAGGCTGTCTGGCTTTCTCCCTCCTGTTCCCACACTCCTTAGGAGGGCCTTTTATCTTTCCTGTTTGCCAGTCCCTGGAGAAGACAGACTGAATAATTTATTTAACGTTCCTGGGGAGTTGCGGGGCTGTAGTTTCAAAACATGACAGAGCTCAGTACATTTGGGGGTTACTGGTAAGTTTTAGATTGCTGTTTTGGAAGAGTGCCCACTGAATCCAAAAGCTTTAGGGGAAAAAGATGCTGAAGCTGTGGAAGGCATTCTGCATCCCTCATATACCAGAGCATCCCCAAATAGTGTCTTTTAAACACTGAGGGAAGGAAGCCAGGCATGGAATGCGGTGCATGCTTCAAGGAGGTAGAGGCAGGAAGAACCA